TGCACAATCATACGTGAGCAGAGTAAACAGGAGGGGGCTCAACACACATCCCTGAGGAGAGCCAGTGCTGAGGGTTATGGTGGAGGAGGAGAAGTTGTGGATCCTCACTAACTGTGGTCTGTTTGTTAAGAAGTCTAGTACCCAGTTGCAAACGGAGGGGCTTAGTCCTAGTGTGGATAGTTTGTCCATCAGGGTTTGGGGGATCATGGTGTTGAAGGCGGATATGAAGTCCACAAAGAGCATACGGACGTAAGACTTTTTCTGCTCCAGGTGGTTGAGCGCAGTGTGGACCACAGAGGAGATGGCATCCTCTGTTGATCGGTTCTCACGGTATGCATACTGATGAGGGTCCTTGTTGATGTTGATGGTTGTTTTGATGTGAGTCATGACCAGTTTTTTGAAGCATTTAGCAACTATCGGGGTGAGGGCCACTGGCCGATAGTCATTCAGACCAGTCACTGTAGAGCTTTTTGGGACTGGGATGATGGTGGCAGTCTTCAGGCAGGTGGGAACTGTCTCCAGGGTAAGTGAGGTGTTAAAGATGTCTGCCAGCACCACGCAGAGCTGATCAGCACATTCCTTCAACACTTTTCCGGGGATGTTGTCTGGGCCAGTTGCTTTGTGCGGATTAATCCTCCTGAAGGTACTCTTTACTTCTGCTGAGGTCACGCTGAGATGCTCTTCATCCGGTGGTGAGGTGAGTCTGGTGCTGGGTGGTCTGTTCGGGTCTTCAAAGCATGCATAGAACTTGTTGAGGGCATCAGGCAGAGATGGGTCTTTGGGGCATTATTCGGTCCTTCCTTTATAATCTGTTATGCACTTAATGCCTCTCCACATGCTCCGAGGGTCTTGTGAGATGAATTGACCCTCAATCTTCTGTGCATATGTGGCCTTGGCCTTCTTAATACCAGCAACCAGCTCTTTTCTTGTCCTACTCAGCTCCTCTGAGTTTCCAGACCTGAAGGCAGTGTTCCTGGCTTCCAGCAGGGTACGCACCTCTGCATTCAGCCAAGGTTTTCTGTTTGGGTAGCTTTTAACATAGCTGATAGTGGAGACGGTTTCAGTACATGTACTAATGTAACCCAGAACTGAGGATGTGTATTTTTCAATATAAAGTGAACCTCCATTTTCAGCAGCTTCTCTGAAAACCTGCCAGTCTGTTCGGTCAAAACAATCTCTCAGTATGGGGCCACTGTCCTGGATCCAGCATTTAACTTTCTTTTGTACCGGTCTGGAGCGTCTCAGCGGGGGCATGTAAGCAGGAGCCAGGAAGATTGAGATGTGGTCTGACAGTCCTAGGTGGGGGCGGGATTCGGCTTTGTATGCATATTTTACGTTCGTGTAAATACGGTTCAGCGTCTTGTCTCCACGTGTAGGAATTGTCACATGTTGATTAAAGCTTGGGAGACAGTCCTTTAGATTCACGTGGTTAAAGTCTCCGGCTAAAACGTAAAGAGCCTCGGGGTGTTTGCTCTGCAGTGAGCTGATTATATCATGTAGCTCCTGCAGTGATTCATTAGCATTAGCGTCTGGAGGAATGTAATCGACGTGATGAAAGTCACTGTGAACTCGCGGGGTAGATAATGTGGCCGACATTTCACTGTTATTTGCTCCAAAGCCTTCGAGCATGAGCTATTTACAACAGTACAGTTTCGTGCACCAACTTTTACTCACGTAAATGCACAGTCCACCTCCCCGTGATTTCCCCGTTAGCTTGCTGCAGCGGTCCACTCGAACAAAAAAAAAGAGTCTGTCATCCAGCTGGAAGACTATCCGGTGTTTCGCTTGTAATCCACGTTTCTGTGAGGCAAAGCACCGCACACTTCTCCATCTCTTCTGAGGCGCCCGCTCTCAGACGAAGTAAATCCACCTTGTTGTCCAACGAGAAATTCAACAGAAAGAGAGACGGCATGGGGAGTTTACCGGCTTTAGCGTTAGCTTGTAGCCTCAGCATAACCCCCACCCGGCATCCTCTCCTCTTAAATCGGGAGCAGCGCATTCTCTTCTGCCTGCTGGAACGCCTCTGCTGCAGCTTCCAAGTAGATGACTTTAAGATCTGCATTCTGCCGAGCGTAGTTTTGAGTTTGTTGCTGATTTCTGCTATATTTCGTGGCAAATCCGCTCCTATTCTCATCAGTTCGGTTCGGCTATAGTTCACACGCATAAATCGCGCAGAGTCAGGCACAGAGTCAATATGGGGGAGTGGTGGTGCAGAGGTTAGAGAAGATGGGCCTGTGATCGGAAGATCGCCGGTTCAAGCCCCGGTACCGACAACATCAAAAATGTGGGTGGGGTAGGTGAAGCACCCACACCTGCCCCCACCCTCATTCGTCCCACTCTGGGCCCTTGAGCAAGGCCCTTAACCCCCACCATCGGCTCCTCCTGGTGTCCTAGATAGCAGCTCTTTGCTCAACACAGAGGGCTGTGGTAGCTCGGTGGTCTGTGGTTGCGTCAGGAAGGGCATCTGGCATAAAAATAACTGCCTAGTCTTTGTGCAACTTAGTTCGCTATGGCGACCCCTAACGCTGTTCTGACTCAAAGCATTTTAATTAGTGGTGTTTACGCTAACTTGTTATTGTTGCAATAATGCAGCAAATGAAATGTGCAATTATTTTAACGTGCATTAATACTGTTAGGTTTCGTTTTCCTCTTCATACTGTATATCCAGCATAATGTCAATGTCACTGGCTCTGGAGTCCTCAGATCTAGTCCAGCAGCTCCAGGAGTTGCTCTGACAGGCAGCTCTGCTCTGTCATCCATTTTCCACATTCTGATTGGTTCTTTTTCTGGAGTATCATTCGATTTAGAGGAGTGGTGCTTGATGCAATGGGTCTGTTATTCAATTGAAACACAGCCTGCAACAAATTTACTTTCCAGTTAGTCAAATCATGTTTGTCATTTAATTTTCTCAGCATTTCTTTTAACAGTTCATTCATTCTCTCAATCAGCCCAGCAGCTTGTGGATGATAAGGAATGTGATAAATCCATTCAACATGTTTTTCAGCTGACCAGTCTTTCACCTGTTTTCTAGTGAAATGGGTCCCATTATCTGTTTGTATCTGAAGGGGAACCCCATAAAATGATTCCATCATACTAAGACATTTTAAAGTAGATGTCTGATCGATCCAAGGACTAAATTAATTCTCTGACTTTTTGGCTGATATCACACAGAGATACACTCACTTTTTGTTTATTGGTGGCTTTAATTTGCATGTGTGTTGTCAGGAGAAGCCCTTAGTGAAGGACTTTCTAGATTTATTGGACTCTTTTAATTTAACT